ACACACGCCCAGCTTGGAGGAGGACTGGGACAGGCTGGGGCTCTCACCGGGGTGTCTGCCGGTTCCTCAGCGCTTCCTTCTTCAGCAGCTCCAGCCGCTGCGGGGAGCAGAAGCAGGGGTAGGCGGCGCCCGTCCTGACCAGAGCGTCCGCGGCCTGGGCGTACAGCTCTAGCCGCTGGGACTGCAGGTAAGGCCCGGCAGGGCCTCCCCGGCGGGGGCTCTCGTCAGGGGGGATGCCTGGAGCACAGAAAGAGAACAATCACCGAGGAGAAGAAGGTGCTTGCGGCACTGGTTCCCTGTCACCGGTCTACACACTTTACCTTTTCCCAACAGTCTCCACATGGCTGTCACAAGCTCCCTTTTGCAGATGAAAAGTTTAAAGCACAGACAGGATCAGAGCTCAAGGTCGCACAGCCTGCTGGGTGACCAGCCAGGCGGAGGCGTGCTGGCCTCCTGTCTACACTCTGCATGCACGTGGGTTCCATCCACCCTTCCCCCGGGGACAGGAAACCTGCCTGGGCCTGGAACAGCCGACTCAGGAGAAAGCAGCGCGCTCAAGGCACAGCCCGTCAGGCCTGGCCCAGACTCCACACTCCTGATCATTCATTACGCTGCCTCTCTGCAGTCCCTCGCCTGTCAAAGCCTCAGTTTCTTCCTCTGGAAAGTGGAGCTCACAGTGTGCTGTGCAGTGTGACGTGGGCGGAATGTCGGCGCTCACGAAGCACTCGGCCCCAAGTGCTTGCAGCGGCTGCCTCATAAGCCCTTGCAGGAACGTGACCATACAAGCCACATCCCCACCCAAGGTCCAGCTCCCAGGTCACAAATGACAGATTTAACTCTAAACACCTCCATGAGAGGGCACGGGGACACAGAACAATGATGTTTCTGCCATCAAAGAGCTTTCTTTTTAAAAAACAATTTTTTTTTAAAATTGGGGAACAGTGTGTTGTTCCAGGACCCATCAGCTCCAAGTCAAGTCATTGTTTCAATCTAGTTGTGGAGGGCGCAGCTCTGTGGCCCATGTGGGGATCGAACCGGCAACCTTGGTGTTATGAGCACTGCACTCTAACCAGCTGAATCAAGGAGCTTTCAAATGAATCCCAACATTAACAGACTCTGCAGGCAGATGGGCCTGGATGCAAACACTGGTTGGCACGGAGGCCGTGGGTGAGTCGCTTTTGGAGCCCCCATTTCCTCCCTGGTAAAGGAAGTACGTGAATTATAACATCCCCCTCAGGGTCGTCACGTGGCCAGAATGAGGTGGCATAAAGTGTGGGGCGCGGCCTGGTACGTCCTAGGCACTCTCTCAGCTTCGGCTGTGACCACTGAGTATTATTTAGCTCCTCTCCCACTAGCCTCCGTTTCATCTGTCAGAAAACAGGGTTGGATTAGGTACATTTGGGGGTCCCCTCCAGATCTGACTTAATGTGTTCGGCACGTGGAGTGCCCCAGGGTTTAAGAGTGAATTAGAAACATATGTTCACATAAAAACTAGTACATAAATGTTCACAGCAGTTGGACTCAGAAAAGTAAAAAAAAACAGAAACAAATGACCATTAGCGGATAAATGAACAAACAAAACGTGACATTTCCAAACAACGACTACATCTGGTCGCAAGAAGGAAGGAAGAAGCGCTGACATGAGTACAACATAAAGAAGCCTATGCTAAGAAAAGCCAGGCACAGAAGGCCACACACTGTCTAATGCCATTTACAGGAAGTGCCCAGAATAGGCAAACCAGGGGATGGAGAGTAGATTAGTGGTTGCCAGGGGCAGGAGTGGGGAGATGGGGGGTGAGTGCTAACAGGTACAGGGTTTTGTTTCATGGTGATGGAAACGTTTTGGAATTAGACAGCAGGGATGGTTACACAACACAGTGAATATACTAAAAACCACTGAATTGTATACTTCAAAAGGGTGAATTTCATATTATGTGAATTATATGTCAATTAAAAAAAAAAAAGAGTGACTCCGGAAGTGAGAAGCTCCAGAGCTCAGCCACCTGGGGTGCCTGGGGTGCCCTCTGCCTCACTGAGATGCTGGGGGGGCGGGGAGCTCGGCCGAGGGGATGCAGGCCATGCTCATACAGTCGTGCTTGTACCCAGGGCTCCACGAGGGTGGGACTTGTTCGTCACCACGCCCCTCGGGCCCAGCAGAGTGCCGACGTGTAATCCAGGTTACACCTTGGCCTGCATGGCCTTACAGGACTCGGCTCCCGCCAAGCTCCGTCTTCACATCTCCCGTTCCTCTCTATGCTTATTGGGCTCAGGCCACACCGGCCTCCTCGCTGCTCCTCTAATACGCCCAGCACTTAGCTTCCGTGAGGCCTTTGTACCCGCTGCTCCCTCGGCTTCCAACACTCTTCCCCTGGGTGACCACTGTGGCCCCTGGCTTTGTGCAACATCACGTCCACAGTGAAGACCACCCTGTGTACCAGAGCACCCCTCCCCGCCGGCGCCCAAACCCGCTACCCTTTCCTCCTGATTCCTCATTCATTCCTGATGAAAATGAACTCATCTGTCTGCCTGCCTGCCTTCCCCGACATGCTGAGCGCAGGGTCTGTTTAACACTGGCCACTCCCCAGGCCACAGTAAGTAAGTGATCGTGGAGGATGTACACCGTCACTCGCTCATCCTGACCGCGCCTCTGCTATGACCTTCCACAGTGGAGGAAAGGCATGCAATCGCTGTCTGCCCTTTAGGAGCCCAGCGGCCAGTTAATGATTTACCCAAGATTAAAACACACATCTCCAAACAGCCTTGGTATTCTTGGAATTTTTTCTTGGGGAGCTGAACTAGTCATACCTGTCCTGGCAGGTAGGCCACTGTTGGCCCAGGGGACATAAACACACTCCTCTTTGTCCTCCCTGAGCATGACTGTGCTCAGGATTAAACTCCCCACGACAAGATTGACTTCAGAGGCTGCACGCCATTTTGTTTGGCTCATAAAAGCTGGATAAAAACAAACAACCAAAAAAACCCCCAAAACCTGAGCTTACAATGTGGAGTAGTCATTAAAAAAAAAAGAAAGAAGAAAGAAAAACCACCTGCAATTCTGGATTGTCTTGCAAATCAGAAGATCTGACCAGCTGGGCCAGCAGCCAGCATTCCCACGTGGGGACAAAGGGCTGGAGCTTTCTCCCTCTCACCACAGGCCCAGCGCCTCCAAGTCCATCTGACACGTGGCCCGTGTCACCTGCCTGCTCCCAGGAGGACTTGAGATCCTGAGATAGGAACAGGAATCTCCAAACAGCCTTGGAGTTTTTCTTCCCAGAGCTTCGGCATCTTTCCAGGTGGCTGGCACCTGCCACCCCGGGCAGCACCAAGGTACCTATCTCTCCAGGAACACTCCTTCTCCATCCTGGGCCCCATGGGAAGACCACAGGCTCCCGTCCCGGCATGCCTCACCTGCCCACTCCAGCATGTCTTCAATATTCTCCGCGGCCCCGGGCACAAGGCGGGTCTGGTCCGTGTCCTCCAGCCGCAGGATGAAGGTCCCTCCGTGCTTCTTGGCAAAGATGTAGTTGTACAAGGCAGTGCGGAGGCCGCCCAGGTGCAGGAAGCCTGAGGGAAGACAAGACGGGCACATGAGCTGATGGGCCTCAGCCATGGGGCCAGCGAGCTGTGCCTGTGACAGAATGTCCCAGAGAACATCAAAGGCCAGGAAATGGCGACCCCCGTGCCCTCCCTCCACCCAGCACTGAGGCAGACTGCCACAGGGGAGCACAGGGGCGGTGACTCCCTTAACCCCTCATTCTGGAAGTTAAAGACCATCCAGGGTTTGCAGCATGTCATTTTGTAAAAAAGCTCCTACCGCCCCCCAGCTGCACCCATATTCTACTTTGAGATTCGCCTCAAGGCCAAGTTTCACCGGAAGGAGGTGAAGCAGAGGATTCTTCACTGAAGACATTATCACACGTGCACTTAACTCCTGCAAATTCAGTGACATGCTTCCTCCCCCCCAAAAAAAGTCACAAATTTAAAATAATGCAAAATAACATATTGCATACACCCTCTACGTGCTGTCGTAACTACCTTCATGGCACATTTTGAATTTTATCTACTTGAGATTTTCACCGTTAAGTGCTGGCTTTACACACTAACCACAAGGAACACTCGATTCCATGGTATTTCTCTTCACCCACATTGAAACTCCGAAGATTTTACTTTTCTCGCACTGCCGGCTGAAAACTTAACATGATGTGTCCCGGGGCTGTCGCTTCCCTCTCCCCTACCTTCTTTGGTCCAGCCCTGGCCTTGTCTCCACAATCAGCTCACCGGCACCTCTAGGTAGAGAAGGCAGCACAGGATGCGACGGCTCCTCTGGGGTCAAGCAGAGACTCCAGGTCAACACTATGTGCGTGACCTCCAGCCAGCCAGTGCAAGGCCACTACAAAACCAGTGCTCCCCAAGATAAGAGACAGGGGTCCAGTGGTGGAGAGCAAGGCCTCTCACATCAAATAGACCTGCACCCACCATTTTACTAGGTGCCACTCCTTGGGCATTCCTGCTCAACTTTTGTGAGCTTCCATTTCCTCTTCTAGTAGAAGGATTAAAAACGAGAAACGGAAACTTGCCTTATGGGGTCGCTGTGAAGCCTACATGCTGACCAAAGTACACACTCGGATTAGCTCGGCTATTGTCACGATCTATGGTGCTCGGTAATGCTTTCATGTCACCAGCCTTTCCCACATGGTCCCTTCGCGCAAATCAGCAAGGAAGCACAAATTGCAATCACTGTAATAGAGGCTACTGTTTATTAAGTGCTTCCTGTGAGACTTTACTGTTTCAGCCGCGTTAGCTCAAACCCACGAGACATACGAGCATTAGCCCTGTTTGACAGACGGTAGAACTCAGAGGCTCAGAGAGGTTAAGTAACGTGCCCAAGTCACACAGCTAAGAAGTGGCACAGCCAAGAATCTGGACCCAGGCCATCCCAGGCCTTGCTACTCAGCCTCTACATGAGTGCCTGTCACTGCATGGTGTGGACAGGTGCTGCCTGCAAACCGCTGCCCATTCACAACCGAGCCAAGTACAGAAATTGACAGTAAATGTTTAGAAACTTAAGAGCAGTTAGACAGAATCACTTCCTACCTATTTACTACACTGAAAAGAAACAGGCTTACAGTCTGTATGCTTTTAAGGTTTTCATTTTTCCAGTAACTCACTTATATTGGTGTTATAAAATTATCGGTCCACAATTGATTGGAAATGAGAAGCGCGTCCTTTCACCACGCATGGTTTAAGAAGCACGCTCTACGCCTGCCAAGGAAATGATCCTGGGCTGCAGAATGAGAGGCATGCTCCTTGCGGAGCAGGCAGAAAACTGGCGGCGGTGAGAAAAGAATTTTGGAAACCGCGGGGAGGCCCTGGCAAGATCACCAGGGTCCACAATGGGCCCCTGCGACCCTCTGGCTTGCTAAGCTCCAGTAACGCTAACCATGGGGACGGTGTACTTGCAATTTCCTCTGCCCGGAAAGGCTCCACCTATGGGCTTCACAGAACTAGCTCCCTGTCACCTGGTTCTCGCCTCAAATGTCACTCAGTAAGGTCTTCTTCAACTGCCCACCTAACCCTCGGTCCCTGCTTCAGTTCCCGCATGGCACACGTGACTGCCTACAATGACAGTGTTTTTAGACGCGTCTGTCGCGGCCACCACAGTGTAGGCGTTAAGAGCAGGGGCCCTACTTTCTCGATGACCGCTGTATCCCGGTGGAACAGTACCTGGCGGTTTACACTTAGCACACATTTACTAAATATGTGAAAGAGATGGTACGGCCCAATGGAAACAAAGAAATTCCTGGCAAGGCGAATAATTTCCGCTCGGGGGCCTGCTTCTGCCCCGCTCTGTAAAATGGGGTCGCGCGGCCTGCCGAGGGTGACTCCACCGGAAATGGTGCGTTCGGGCACATACGGGGGGCGGGCACGGGACGGTGAGCCTCGGCCTGCAGCGTCACGTCCACCAAGGTTACCTGTGGGGCTGGGGGCGAACCGCACTCGCACCGTAGCCCCGGGTTCAGTGCACAGGTCGGCTTCGCGCTGTCCCAGGGAGCGGCCCAAGGCCGCCGGGGGCCTCCCCGGCTGCAGCAGCCTCCTTAGAAGCACCGCCATGTGGGGTGGCCTCGCACACGTGGGGATACTCCGTTCATCACTTCCGGGGACTCCTCCCAGCCAATCCGCTTCCGCCACAGTGGGCGCAACCCCGCCCCTTAAAGGCGCAGGACGCCTGCCTGCGAGCCCACGCCCCCCTGCACGGCTGCGGCCCCGCTCTGCCTCTAGGGGGCAGAGTCTGCCCAGCGGACGATTCCCGGGGCCCCCCCTCGGCCGCCGAAAGCTAAAGCGTGGCAGGGGCCGGGCCGGGGAAGCGGAGGAGGCGGGTCTCCATAGAAACCTTCACCTGTTTCCGGCCAGGCCGTGCGAGATTAGGGGCTGCTGCGGGGGCCAATCTCCGCCAGCTCGCCTTTTCCCGGCGGCCTCTGCGGGCTCGGTGGGTGTTGTACACAATCATCATGGCGGCGGCCGGGGCCCCGGATGGTGAGTGCCGCGGGGTGGCGGGCGCCCGGTTGGGCCCGGGTGAAGCGGGGGCTCCCGGGGGGTGCGCTCTGGCCCGGGGGCGGACACAGTGGCCTGGCTCGGGAGCGGAGGTCCGGCGACGCACGGACAGAGCCCGGCCCCTGGCCCAGCCCGCGGCGAGCGCCCACCCCCTTACCCCCTTGCAGGCATGGAGGAGCCTGGCATGGACACGGAGGCCGAAACCGTGGCGAACGAGGCGCCCGCGCGGCCCCTCAACTGCGTGGAGGCCGAAGCCGCGGCGGGGGCGGCGGCCGAGGACCCCTGCGCCGCGCGAGGCAGCCTGCAGCCGGCCCCGGCCCAGCCCCCTGGGGACCCCGCCGCCCAGGCCTCGGTCAGCAACGGCGAGGACGCGGGCGGCGGCGCCGGCAGGGAGCTGGTGGACCTGAAAATCATCTGGAACAAGACGAAGCACGACGTGAAGTTCCCCCTGGACAGCACAGGCTCCGAGCTCAAACAGAAGATTCACGCGATTACAGGTAATCCCCCGCGGCGCTGGCAGCGACAGCCCGCCTGCCCACTGCCGGCCTCGCGCCAGGCCCGGCACCGCGCTGGCCGCTCTCCTCGCCTCATCTCCCGCGGTACCCTCCCAAGTGGGTACCAGGATGCCCATTATTCAGATGGACAAAACGAGGCCCGAGATGACAGCTAGTAACTGGCGGAGCTGGGATTGAGGGGCCGGCCTGAAACTTAGGCCCAGGCTTCTGACTAGTGTGGCCCAAACATCTCTGATAAAAATCACTTCAGGCACTTGTCAGATTTACAGGTCCTGGGGCCTTCTCCCTGGAGATTTTGATTCAGAGGATCTGGACTGTGGCCAGGAATTTATTTTTAGCGAATGTCTTAGGTAATGCTCATAAGGAAAGTTTAGGAAAAGCCGCCGCTGCCTGTCTTGCTGACCCCTTCACAGATGCTCGTGTTGCTTCATTTCATCTCGTTTGCAGCTCTTTGCCATCTGAAATGATTTCTTTTTTAGGCTTTCTCCATGTAGCCTGTAAGCCCCTTAAAAACAAAAACTTGGTCCTTACTGGTTTCTGTATATTCGAGGCCTGTGGACTCTTGATTCTCCCTTAACATTTCGGTGATTGGAAGATTGAGGAACATCTTGGAATGAATGACAGCTAATATTTATGGAATAATTCCTAAATTACCAGACACTGCACTCGATACTCCGTCCTACCTCTTAATCCTTAGAACAAGTCCGTACAGGTGGAACCACCACCGTCACTATTAGAAAGTCCTGGAAAGCGAGGCTGAGACAGGTTGCCCCAGCGCACAAAAGTGATGGTGGCAGAGCAGCACACACTTTGGGGTCTGTTGCCGAAGGGCTCTGGTCCAGGGTCGTTTTCTGTTCCCTCGTTCACCGTCTGCTCCCTTGTCTCCAAGGTCTCCCGCCTGCCATGCAGAAAGTCATGTATAAGGGACTTGTCCCCGAGGATAAGACGTTGAGGGAAATAAAAGTGAACAGCGGAGCCAAGATCATGGTGGTGGGCTCCACGATCAATGATGTGTTAGCCGTCAACACGCCCAAAGATGCCGCGCAGCAGGACGCGAAGGCGGAAGAGAGCAAGAAGGAGCCACTGTGCAGGCAGAAAGTGAGTCCGCCGTGTGACACCCTCCTGGGAGGTTAGAGGCTTTGTCCTCTGGAGCCGGGGCTGGTTACATTCTCCCTAGAATAAGCTCCTTTTCGGACAGGGCCCATGATGGAAATTTATGGCAGCAGTTGGGTGCGGCTGGCTGTTGAGTGGAGGTGACAACTACCTGAGATTTGCAACTTGGTCTCATCTGGCGGGTCAGTGTGTCTCAAGTCTCTCTACTTTAGGATAAGGCCTTTGTGGAGGCAGGCTTCAGAACCCTCGAGGGTCTTTCTCCTGCCCAGTGCCAGAGCACAGTGCCATCACTGGGATTAACCGCCCGTTTTGTCAAGTGGTCACGTTCACTTTCTGGTGTATGGCTTCCCCCAAGTCAGCAGGCCATTTCTGGAGAGGCATGGAAATCAGTAGTTTTCAGAGGTTCCTCTAAAACTCACCATCTCAGGAAGCTAAGTGAAGCAGACTAGGAAGGTAACTCCACTGATTTTTTTTCTCCCACTCCTGGTTCGTGAAGTGAGGGCCTGATCTTTCACGCTCTGTGTTGCTCATTCTGGATAGAAGACATGGAGCCTTGTCTCATGCTCACTGCAACCAGTAGGATTTTTTTTTTGTAATTAGGAAAGGAGAGAGGAATTCACCATCGCAGGTCTGGTTGGAAGCACCATCACTCGTGCTCTTCCCAGCAGCCCCCACTTATTGTTAGGGAGCATCCTGGCCCCTCTGAGTGGTGTTCCAGGAAAACAGGTTTTCTCCAGCCAGCCTGTGTCCCAAGTAGAGGGGACCAGCTGGAACCATCATTGGTTTTAGTGACCACAGGCACCAAAGCATATGACTGACAGTGAGAAAAGCAGCGTTTCCTGTGCAGGCCCATGTTCCCTTATGTGCACTTCCCAAAGCCTGAGAGAGTGAAAACCAAACGTGTTTTTGTAAATGGCAGCAAACCCTGACTAGGGTTAGTGTGAATATTCATGTTTTACCAAAGAAATGTGAACGTGTTTGGTGACAAGGTGCTGCCCCAGACCCTGTGAAGGACATTCCATAATGTATTTTAAAACTACATGACGTTTATAAAACTCCTGAAACTTTTGGCAAACATCTGCCCCTGGGGTTTCAGATAAGGGGCTGTAAACCTGTAGTAACATCCAAAAGGTGTTTATTAGGACACTTTGACTCCCGGATATGGGGTCAGAATGTCTTGTAACCAACTGAGTTCATTTCCACCTTCCTGTCTTGCTCTGCCCCATGTGTGAGTCCGGCAGATGTGAGCGTCCCACTGGCCACGCCCCGAGAGCACGAGCCTCTTAAATACAGGTTGTGAGCTGCTAATGGTAGCTGAATAGGCTTAGAGCTGTTCTCCAGAGTGTAGGGAGAGGTCTTCAAAGGGATGAGTCAAATGCAGACTCTCATCCGAGCTGCTGCGTCTCACTGATGCCTGCCAGGAGGCCTGATGTGGACTAATGAGGGGCCTGTGCTCCCGGCTCCCATCAGCCGTTCCGGGATCTGGGGCTGATGGACAGGTCTGGCCGAGCGGAATTTACTCCTACCGAGGCTTTTGTGCTGGTGGGGTTAGAGCTGGCTCATGGGACCTGGTAGTTAGATTTAACTACGTTTTTACTCCACCCACTCGCTGCCCCGTCACTCTAACTTTATCAGACAGTGGCTACCTGTAAAGGCACCGAGGAGCATCAGAGCAGGCAAGAACTGTTTCAGTGGCCGTGAGCCTAATGAGAACCGTAATGAGCTGCCCACACTCCTGGGCTGGGGTGCGAGTGGGGTCAGTGACTTCTTACCGTCAGGCCATAGCATCATCAGCATTTCTCTGCAGAAGTTGGTTCTGCAGGCTTTGTGTTTAGCCAGGATGGAGGGTGGGGCAGTGGCAAGACTTCTGCTGTAGGCCCAGTCTCCGTTTTTGTTGACGAGATGTCCGTTCTAGGCAGTTAGGCCAATGGACGGCATCATTAGAGGTTTCTTTGGGAGTTTCAGTTGACAGAAGTGGCTGTCATTTGTACCTGTCAGCAGAGCAGCACCCTTTTTCACGCTCAGCTTGATGTTTACCCTTTTCAGCGGTGATCTGGGGGGTGGGGGGAGTCTGGAAATCTAGAAATCCTCTTGGCTCTAGAACTGTGACGTCTAAGGTGGCAGCCAAGTGTGGCTGATTAAAGTTGAATAAAATTAAGGGTTCGGTCATATTCGCCCCATTTCAAGTGCTTAATGGCCACATGTGGCTCATGGCCATTGTTTTGGGCAGCACAGATAGAGGACATTTCCATTATCACAGCAATTTCTGCTGGCCAGCGCTGCTTTAGTGTCCAGGGACCCGTGATCTGTGGACAGGAGAAGCTCTGAGCCCGAGCACCAGGCTCCCTTCACCTTTCTCTTCAGAGGTAGTGATGAAAACGCAGTCAGCTGTTTGATTTAATGACCCCCTCTGATTTATGTTGCAGCAACACAGGAAAGTGTTGGATAAAGGAAAACCGGAGGACGTGATGCCATCTGTCAAGGGGGCCCAGGTAAGCCCTGAGCCGGCATCCCGAAGCAGCCCACCTCCGACTCCCCGAGGCCCCCGTGCTCCCGCCTCGCGTCCTGCCCCTTCTCCTTTTCCAGTCCCTCCCTCAACACACTCGTGTGTCCCCAGGAGCGCCTGCCAACAATCCCCTTGTCCGGCATGTACAATAAGTCTGGAGGGAAAGTGAGACTCACCTTCAAGCTAGAGCAAGACCAGCTGTGGATCGGCACGAAAGGTACGGCGCCCTGCGCTCGCAGCCTCCACCTGGCTCGCTCCCTCTGACCCCCCAGCATGCGGTCATGGGTGCAAGCCCGCCCCCATTCTGGACTCTTCACTCTGCTCTGCGTGCGCCTGGCTTCTGGTTTTGCTCTTAGATGCTCACCGTCTGTTGGACCCTTTTCCCTCAACCTTTGCAGTCTGACCTCAGGGCCAGGCCCTCAAACATTGGCTTGTTGGTTGCACCCAAAACCAGAGGTCCCAGACGTTTGGCCCCGGAGGCCAGGTCTGGTCCATAGACGATGGTTTTA